CCCTATACTCCAACCCCAACCCCCCCATACCTCCCCCCATTCCCAAAAGTTCCTCAGGGGATTTGGGCTGTACTCAGCAAGCACAGTACAGCCCCCAACTCAGATTTGAAAAAAAATCAGTGGATGGTTGATTTCTGACTGGTCGGCCCTAGTGGTCGGCTGCAATACGGTCGGCGGTCGGCAGGGATGCAACCCTGCTTGCCGGTGGAATAGGAACTGGACTGACGCTCACCAGAATCGAAATGGAGCCAGGGCCATAAGGACCTGTTTTAATATATATATTACAACAGAGATCAGACCTTGCATTGGATCGACGATTGACAATGGAGAGGTTAGGGAGGGGTCTCAAGAAAGGGGTACCAATTTCTACCAAGGCTTCCGGGTTCTCAGGTTAACACAGTTACAGATTTGGGGGGCTGCATGCTGGCAGTGCTGCAGTCTGGCAGCAGGAGCGTTGGGGGAATGTAGGGTGCAGGCTTACATCGCCGAGGGTTAGTGAGTTTACAGGTTGGAAAGGCTGCAGGTCTGCAAGCTGCGACCTGCGGCAGGATGCGACTCTGCAGGTTTGCAGGGCCTCAGGATTGCTGCCTTGCAGGTTTGCTGGTTTGCAGGTTTTGGAGCCTGCAGAGCTGCAGGTAAGGCAGCTGGGCCGCAGGTCTTGGCTAGAGTGTTTTTGTCGCGGGAAAGAATGCCGTGCACCGTAATACAGCCATCATCATGGGGGTTCTCAACCATGGTTAATTTATGGCTAAGAGTAGCTAAAAGAGGCATAAGCACAGATGGCCCAGAACATGCTAGCGAAGCAGCTGAACAAGTTGGGAAGGTGGGGGAATACATTTACTTCGCTGCTCGGCCGGGTCTTGGTCCTCAACACCTCAATTTTCTTCATGATGTGGTACATTGCGGCGGTATGGACAATCCCGGACAGCTCAATAAAGGAACTAAACCGGGTAGCGAGAAACTACCTTTGGACGGGCAACCCCAACAAGGGAAGCTGTATTCCAAAGATAGCTTGGCAGTACATTACAAGAAAACCAATACAAGGGGGGCTGGGAATCATCGACCCGAGGTGCGAAACAAAAGCCCTCCAAGTAAAATGGATAGTTCGGCTGCTGACGAAACCAGAAACGGCATGGAACAAGCTTGCCCTAGACTGCATAAGAGCTCTAGCTCCTTTGTCATCGCCAAGCAACATGTCTGGTCTATTCTGGGTAATGAACAAGGAATGGTCATTGAAAAAGGTGAGAAGAAGAAGAACCAGGGGGGAAATAGAGCAGAACATAGACAACCGCCAAACGCCGTATTGGGCGGCTCTCATCCGGATCTGGAGGGAAATAATGCCAAAAAAGACCAACAGACCCAAATCAAGGGATGAGGTGTCGAGGCAGCCGTTATTTGGCAACGAATGGTTGAGGAGCGAAAGTGATGAACCCTTGTTCTTAAACCACAAATGGCTATCTTGGGTAAAAAATGGGGTCTGGACAATTGGACACCTGTGGAACGACGAAAAGAAAGAATGGGTATCTGAGCAGGAGCTAAGCACACGCCTAAAGGGCTGCCACAGAAGAGGTCCTAACCTGCACTACATTACTAATCTTGTCCCTCAAGAATGGAGAGATGTGCTGAAGCAGGGGGGGGATTGGAGAAGTGGGGACTGGGGGGTCAAAATACAAGAGAACCATCCCTCTAGGGCCTTCCAATTCTCACATTTACAGCAAGGATCTGATACTCAAGCGGTATTCACTTCCTTGCCGATCACACACTCCACGAAGGGTATGCCGTTGATTATGAACATCAACGTGGAAACCACAGTCATGGAATACTTTTTGCTCAGGAAGATAAGAGTGCTGCGCACATGGCCGAAATTCATCTTCAGGTTCGATACGGCAATCCAGAACTTGGAATTTGACCCGGGGGAGTGGGCGTGGAAACCAGATAAGAAGACAAACGTAAAGGGACTCACCCCCATACAGGACTACACGGTCAAACTAGGGTACAAACTCCAGTTAAAAACAAAAGACCCAGAGCTGGTGATCAAGGCCAGATGGCAGAAGTTACTAGGACAGGAAGCGGATAAAATCACGAAGATCCCGTGGAAAGTATATAAAATGATCAGACCGGTCAAAATCAGAAGCCTTCAATGGCTGATAGTTTACGCAGCACTACCAGTCAATCAATGGCTTCATGTTAGGCGAAAGGGCTCCGTCCCTGACAGTTCTGATCAATGCAAGGTGTGTACGGAGAATGCAGTAGAGGATATAGTACACTGCCTAATCTACTGTAGGGAGGCGACAGACTACTGGGCGAGAGCCTCGACTCTCTGGGATTCCCTTTTCTCTACCCCTTTCCCTGAACACCCCATCCCAACTTCTCCTGCTGATTAACATCCCTGAACAGCCCCGGAAAGCGGAAAGGATTTGGTATGGACTCATCAGAAAGGTGACCCTATGGGTCATATGGAAGGAAAGATGCAGAAGAACGATTGAAAGTTTCTCCAGCGCACGTGAGATGGTCTGGGCGGAGACGAAAGTAATGATACAGGCAGAGATCCTGAGCAGATGGCAGAAGATTAAATTATCTTGGTCGGAGGATGAAGAGCAGCAAAGGAAGGCTAGACGAAGTTTCAGCAGGACATGGCTGATAGATGGAAAAGTGGCTGAGTTACGGGACGATCACATCTATTGGAAGGAATGGCACAACTCTAACTCAGGGAGAAAACGCTGGACAACAGAGTGCAGCACACGGGCAAAGCTCCCCCGGATTAGAACTCTAAAGAGAAAGCTTCGGACTCGGACTACTACACTTGGGGAGCTGCAGTCGGGGTCAGGAAATACGCAAACGGAAGGCATGAGTGGGGGAGGAGAGTTTTTAAAAGGACACTCCCAAACGAGGAACAGGGTTTAGGGTTTAGGGTTTAGTTAGACCTCAAGAGAAGGGAGAAGGCTGAGCGGTTTAGGGGATACGGCGACTTATGGGCAGAACAGAGGAGGGGGAGAGCACAGGCATACAGAAATAACGAGTGAACTCTTCGAGGGAAAAAAAAGAAAAGGAAGACGGTGACCCACGGGCAGGGCTGATGAGAGGGAAAGCACAGGCAAGTAGAAACAATGGGCGAACTCTTTCTAGGCAACAAAGGTTTATTTGGCAGAGCTGGTTCTTCGGGTCTGAGAGGAAAGAGTGAGTCATGGCAAGCGGACAGTCAATCCTCCACCTGTCGGGGAGAAATCAATGCTGCTCAGGGATCCTCCGGCCATACGGGAGGAAGCGTGAGTTTTCTGATGTAATGTAATACTTTTTCTGACTTGCCGCTGGAACAGGAACCGGACTGACGCTCCCCAGAATAGAAGGAGCCAGGACCATAAGGCCCTGTTTAAAAAAAAAATAAAAAAAAATAGGCATAAGCACACTGTGGGGACCAGGTGCAAGCCCCCGGCTGATCCTGAGTGAGGAAAACCTGTGGAATGCAGCAAAGCCAGTTACCCTGTTGCTTGGCCATTCACCTTCTGCTTATCTTCATCTTTCTCTGGTAAGATCTGGTAAGAGTGGGTAGACGCATAAGCACTGCTGGGAGGGAGCAGATGCTGCACTGGCTGAGCTTCGAACGATATCCCCATGTGCTCTGCACAGGCTGAGCTTCGAACGATGTTCGCGTCATGGTCGTTATGTGTACAATCTGTGAGATGCAGGAAATTCTATCACCTTGTTGCTTGACTACCCACCTACCAACCTTCTCCTGCTTCTCCTCCTCCTCTTCATCCTCCTCCTCCTCTTCGTCCTCCTCTTCCTCTTCCTCCTCCTCCTCCTCTTTGCTCTTCTTCTTGACACAGATGCAACTAACAACTAATACACCGCTTCGGTCTTTCGGTGCAGGCAATTTTGAATCAAGTGAGAGTACCTTCTTTTCTTCCTAAGAACAGAAGTAGCAAAGTGGACTCCCGAAGTCATCATGCGAAGGACGAGGTGATGGAAGGGTCCGTCAATGTTATCCAAGTGGAGGACATGTCCTCTCTTCAAGATCAGTCTGGAGATGAAACAAGGCGAGCCACAGTAGTATGCACAGTGGTGCGCAGAGCGATACAAAGCGGATGCAGAGGTCCTGGACGACATCGTCTGGAACACGTCTTGGTTGAATGTCTCGACAACAATGGATGACGGATGAGACAGCATCTCTGTCAGGATGGTGGCAAATTGATCTGCCTAAAACCGAGTTTATTTGTTCGTACTTTGTTAACTTGAGATAGACATCGTGTTCAGACGAACTCTTCACACAATGGCGTCCATGATGACATCAACAGAAAGATCTCCTGCTGCGATTTCGGAGGCAGATGATTGCAATCTGTCGGTTCTCGACAATGGTGATGAAGGCAAGGATGGCGGACGAGGAGGAGGAAGAATGAGAGGAGTAGAGGAAGACAATCATGATGGGCGACTGTCTCGTTTGCGCATATGCTCATGGCAGGAGTATGTGGCGGCCTTGCGAGCAGCTGGTCTAGCCAAGGAGGAAGAGAAGGAGGGGGCCGAAGAAAATAATAGGAATGAACAGCGAGGAGAGAAACCCACCTTTGGTGCCTACGGAGAGAGCAGTGAAGTGTCGCCGCCTAAGTTTCCGGCGCGATTCCCGAGGCACAAACGTATCCCTGGAACCCGATTCATTGTTGACGGGTTCCGTTTGGCGGGACCTTGGTCCCGATGCTACTTTCTCTCTCATTATCACGCAGATCACTATCAAGGTATCTCAGAGAAATGGGAGAAGGGGATGATTCTCTGCTCGCCCACAACGGCACGTCTTCTGATCCACATCATGGGAGTGCAAAAGTCGTTCGTTCAGGCGATTCCTTTGAACTGTCCCGTACTTGTGGATGGCTGCAACGTCATCCTCGTTGATGCTAATCACTGTCCAGGAGCAGTTCAGTTTATCTTCAAAGTTCCCTACGCTGGCGGCAACAAGAAGGGGGAAGAGTGGAGAGGGACATGGTCGGGGAGAAGGGAGGAACTGACAAACCAAGCTAGGCCTTCGACCCAAGATAATGAGGCTGCAAACACTCAATGCGATGGAGGTCTGGTACTGGAGCAGCAGCAGGAGCAGCAGGAGAAGCAGGAGTCGCTGCAGAAGTATCACATATATGTCCATACGGGTGATATGCGATACACGCCATCGATGCGCGAGAACCCCTTCCTCCGTGCCTGCAAAGGTGCCGAGGCCGTTTTCCTAGACACAACTTACTGTAGCCCTAAGCATACCTTTCCGTCTCAGGATGTGCCGGTTGATTATGTTGCCCGTATCATTAACAGCAAAATGCAGGAGGAAGAGGAAGACGATAAAAGGCGCCGATCAGGCGCCAATAGCAATGGGAAAGGAGGGGAAGCAGGGGGGGGTGACGAGGACCGAAGGCAACATGTTCTCAGGCAGTCGTCTGACGTCAGGTTTTCCAGAAGAACCTTGTTTTTAATTGCCACTTATACAATAGGGAAAGAGCGGATTCTGCTTTCGGTTGCCCAGCAATGCGGCTGCAAAGTGTACGTGGAACCGTCGAAGTTGGAGGTTCTCAAATGCTTAGAACTAGAGATGGAGAGGGAGGAAGGAGCGGAAGAGGGTAACGACAGAGGGAAAAGGAGAGGTGTTTATGGTGGGGAGGAGCTTGAGAGGGTGTTCACGACCGATCCAGCATCAACGAATGTGCACGTGGTTGGATGGAATTTCCTTGGAGACACGTGGCCATACTTCAGGCCCAACTTTGAAAATATTGAACATTTGATGAGGGAGCGAGGGACCACGTCAGCCGTAGGATTTGTTCCGACGGGTTGGACTTATGAGATGAAGCGGCAGGGCAGTTTCCCTGTAAGGACAAAAGGCTCTTGTGCTATCCATCTTGTGCCTTATAGTGAACACTCCAGTTATGAGGAGCTTAGGGAGTACATTGGATTTTTGCGGCCGCGGGAGGTCATACCAACTGTTGGGGTGGAAAAGGCAAATGGGGAGATGGACGAAATAAGTGCGGGAGCGTTAAGAAAGCATTTCCGCAACTTGGTTGATGAAACAGCGAGGAAGAAGCACTTCTTTCAGGCTTTCGAGAAGTGGAGACGAAACGACAGTATCAGCAGTGGGAGCAGTGGCAATGGCAATGGCAGCGGCAGCTCCCTGGTGAAAAATGTGGTTCGCCAGATCGAAGAAGGTGGCGCTGATTATGATAATGGCGGCAATGACAGTGAAGAGAAGTGGGAGGAGGGACTGCAGGAGGAGGGGGAGGGGGAGGGGGAGAGGAAGGGAGACTCAAAGGAAGTAAACCTTTCAGAGACCATCAACAAGCAAGCAGGAATGGGGTTTGGTGGCTTGGCTACTCTCAAGGCGAACGGTTTGGAAAGTGATGCGACGAGGATGGTGGCATGGAGAGTGAAGCGGAAGAGGAGCAGAAGACAAGGCAGTGCAAGTAAACGGACAAGGCGAGTTCTTGAGACCAAGGAGAATGATGAGGAAGGGAGCAGGGGAGGTGGTGGAGTGCCTTATTGTTGGGCTCACGATGGCCATGAATGCGACGAGAGTCAGAAAGATGGGTTTCAAAGTGGTGGTGCGATGAGGGAGGAGAAAAGTAGCCCACCTTCTCCTGGGAGTTGGCACAGGAGGAAGAAGGCCAAATTTGCAGCCAAGCGGTCGGCAAAAGACAGCAGAGACCTGAGAGAAGGAAATTGCGAAAGCCAATCAGGCGGAGAAAGGAGTGCAGAGTCAGGGGGATATTCCGCTGCAGAATTGCTTCTGCAGGTGAAATCAGGAGAAGCTTCTGGGTCCAATATAGGGTTGGAATCAGGGTCGGCATTGGGATCACAATCGGGGTCTAGAGTAGGGGCGATGTCAGGTGTAGGATCGGGTTCGGGGACGGCAGCAGGTTCAGAATCGGTCTCAGTATTGGGGCTGGACCATGATGCACGGGCACCGGTGGTGCACGCGCCTATTTCGTCTGGGATGACCACAGCGTCAGCCTTGGGTTCGGGATCGGAGTCGGGATTTGGCTTGGAAGCAGCGTCGGGTTTGGGATCAAGAACGGGACTGGATTGCAATAGTGGGGAGGCACTTTTTCCAGTGCGGAGTTTTCCTCTGGTGGAGTCTATGGGTAAGATGAAGAGAGAAGCGGGAGGAAAGGGGGAAGTTCATGTTGATAGTGATAAGAATGATGATGATGATGATGACAAGGATGATGATGATGATGATGATGGCAACAACATCGTGCATGATGAGGCTGGACATTGTCCAGGTGGAACTGATGCTGGCAAGGGAGGTGGGAGCAGGAGCAAAATGGGAAGATCAGGGCCTGGGGTGGTTGTGACCAGAGCGGGTGGAAGAGGACGAGGAAGCGGAGGACCAAGAAGAGGAGTTGAGGCTTCGGATAAACTTGATCTTCTGAAGTCACTACTGCCGGAATGGGTCTCGCACACTCTAGCAGAAGTACTGCTTGCCAGAGGAGGTGGAGATGTGGCCACTGCTGTCACATGGTTCTACGACTCTGAGGTTGGTGGGCCAAGGGAGAGGGAGGGAGGCAAAGGAGGCGGTCATGTTGGCGGCAGCACTCCAGAGAGGGGCGGAGTGACAGGAAGAGGAGGGGGCGAGGCTGGTGGGGATATAACTAGGAGGGGAGGGACAGGAGGAGAGGGAAAGGCGATGAACTGTATGCCAGTAGTGACGCAGCAAAGTGGTTGCAATGCAGATGGGAGGGAAGAGAAGGAGGTGGCAGTTGAGGTTGGTGCGAGCAGAGGTGTTTGTTGTACTGATGCAGATGCGACAATTGCAGCAGCAGAGGGAAACAAGGAGGGGAAGGAAGAGGAGGAGGATAAGGGTGTGGCAGGACATGGTACGATTGAAAACAGCACACCGGGATCTTCGGGCAGCGCTGTTGATGCCCCACCTGCTGACCGGTCTATGGTGGTATTGGCCGAGCAGCGTGTTTCAGGGTCTAATCTTTTGGAATCTGGGTCCGAGTCTGTTTCAGCATCAGTTTCACAGATGACGACAATGACGACATTGGTGATGTGGAAGCAGCCTCAGCAGCACAAACGAGTGGGCGGGAAGGCCAGCGGGAGCCGGTCTTCTTCCAAGGCTACATCGCGACCACGAGTTCCAGGGAAAGGGAAGGGTTCATACCTCACCCCGTCTAAGCGTGCATTGGCAGGTGCAATTGTGCCGGTCACAAAGAAGGGTGCTTCCCTCATTGATCCTCATACGCCTTCCATCTTGTCTTTCTTTCCTCGTATAGAAAAGGGTGCTGCTGACCGGCCTCTCTCTCACAAAGGGACAGGTGGTTCAGGAACATCTTCTTCCATTGTATCTTACTTCCCTCCGGTGAGAAAGACCGCCAAGGACGACAATCCAGTCACAGGAACTGGAAAGGCTGGTTGTAGATGGTCAAGCATCTCTCAATGTGAAGCAGTGCTTGAGGGGAAGGAAACTCAAGATGCTAACAATCAATCGGATCAGACGACCCGTGCCGACAAGGAGTCGAACAGTCTTGAGGGTTGTCACGGCGGTACACGGAGATGCATCAGGGTAGAGCTGAAGGGCGAAGAGCATGAACACCAGAAGGAGGTGGTAAAGGAGAGGGAAAATGCGGTGGAGACACTGGAGAGCAGCAATTCCATCGTAACAACAGAAACAACTGCTCCTGGAGATAGACACCAGATGGAAGGGCAACAGAGCGGCGTGGCTGACGAGACAGGAGAGGAAGAACTGACAAGGGAAGACGTGGAGAGATGGGAAAATACGATCCTTGAGCTGATGGTTATCTTGCAGGGAAGCATCGAGGAGATCGATGCGTGGCGCCTGCTTGGTAAAGCGGAGGGAAATGTGGCGCGTGCAGTGGACTTGTTTGACGAGGAGAGGCGGGAGAAAAGTGCAAAGGAGGGATCGAGAAGTCGCCAAATGGGTGCGAAGGAGACATTTACGAAGGATCGTCAAGCTCTGCAGTTTGACAATAGACCGATGAATGACCGAGCAATGGTGGGAGAGCACGAAACTCCTGTTTCATCAGGATCTCTGCATTCTCCATGGGACGTTACAGATGATAATGGCATGAGAATTGGAACCGTTGCGAAGCAACAGGAGGAGGAGCAAGAAGGAGAGCTCATCAAGACGATGGAAAAAGGGAGGCAAATCAAGAAAAGTAAGGAAGGGAAGATGCGCTTGGTTGTGGGTGTTCCAGATAGACGTACGACTGACAGGAACTATAGAATAAAGGGGAAGGTGGAATGTGAAGGAGAGGGAGAGGAAGGCGATGAAGGTAGTAGACGGGTGGAAGAGGGACATATTGAGTGTTCTTCTGTTCAGACGGGTGCTGGTAGTGTTAGGGACGAGGAAGAAGACAAGGAAGAGGGAGGTCGTGATACAGGCTCCCACTTACATAGAAGAGAAGGTAAGGAGGAAATAGAGGAGGAGAATTACAAAGCGGGGGACGGAGGTGCTCAATGGGACAACGTGGGGGGTTGCAAGGAGAACGTGCCTTGGAGAGAAGGGGCTATTGGTGGGAATGGCTTGGGGGGGGAGGGGCGTATGGAATGCGCGGTTTCTGTGACAACTAAGAGAGCAAATGATGGGGGGGACATGGGGGGAGAGTCGTTGGTCGATGGGCTGATGACAAGGGCTAGCACAGTTTCTGAGAAATCAAAGCAATGCGTACCACAGATTTTTAGTACTCCAGAGGAGGATGGAGTTGTTCCGATGGGAAGAATTTTCGACGAGTCAGGTAATGGAGGCGGACGAGGAGGAGGAGGAGGAGCAGGAAGAATTTTTGATGACTCAGCTGATGGAGGCAGAGGAGGGGAAGGAGGAAGAATTTTTGATGACTCAGCTGATGCAGGCGGAGGAGGGGAAGGAGGAGGAGGAGGAGGAGGAGGAGGAGGAGGAAGGGGTGCTTGGGGAGGAACTGAGGATGCTTGGAATGGAGAGCAGGTGCGAGGAATGGGTAGCTTAGTCAAGTCCGTAGGAGTGAACCATGGAGGGGTGCCACCCGGGGGGGACGGGAAAAGGGTGATTGACAAGGGTAGAAAAGGCGCAAAAGACAGTGGAAGACCTGTGAGTACACCTGTTTGGAATTATAAACCGGTGGGAGATGCTTGTTGGAAAGCTGGTGAACGGGCACCATACTTACATCTTGCTAATGCTTACAGTGCTATAGAGGGAGAGAAGGGAAGGTTAAAGATGACAGACATGCTTTGCAATATGTTCCGCAGTTTGCTGGCGCTGTCGCCGTCCGAACTTCTTCCGTCTGTATATTTGACAACGAATAAAATCGCTCCGGAGCATAAGAACACAGAGCTGAATATTGGCGGCAGCACTGTTGCAGCTGCCATAGCTGAAGTAACAGGAGTGACACGGACTAAGATCAGGGAGATGTATGTGCGAATGGGCGACTTGGGCGATGTGGCTTTAGCTTGCCGTCAGAAGCAGTCCATGCTGGTGGCTCCTTCTCCTCTTTGCATCGATCAAGTCTACAAGACTTTGATCAAAATGAGCGAGGAAAGTGGCGGCGGGAGCTTGGCGCGCAAGAAGGCTATGGTCGCTGGGCTGTTGAGAGCATGTAGAGCAAACGAGGCGCGGTACTTGACGCGCACGTTGATCCAGAACATGAGAATAGGCGCCACATTGATCACCGTGCTGCGGGCACTGGCTCGAGCAGTGACGATTCACCGCTCGAGCAATTACGGTCGTGATGAGCCGGTGGGCAATCTCGTGGAGGAGCTGAAGCCGAAACTGCAGCTGGCTGCCGAAGCGGTTGTAGAGGCATACCACTTGATGCCAAACTTGGACATAATTGTAGAAAAGCTGATCGAAGGTGGAGTGGAGGCATTGACTTCAGGTTTGACTTTGTCTCCGGGAACACCGGTCAAACCAATGCTTGCCAAGATTGCCACAGGGATAACACAAGTGCTGAAGAGATTCCAAGGTCACGCCTTTGTGTGCGAGTTTAAGTACGATGGTCAGAGGGCCCAGATCCACATGCAAAATGACGGGACTGTCCGCATTTTCTCGCGGAACGGTGAGGATACAACCTCAAGGTTTCCCGACGTTGTCGATGTCATCACGGCGATGACAATAAACCCAAGAAGCGGAGTAGATAATGCATCGGAAGTAGTAGTAGTAGGAGGAGGAGCAGGAGGAGGAGGAGGAGGAGGAGGAGGAGGAGGGGGAGGAGGAGTTAGGCAAGACGAGGAGACCAAGACTGGTGTGACGAGAAGTAGTAGAGAGAGGGCATTTGTAATCGATGCTGAGATTGTTGCTGTTGATAGAATCAACGGCAATCGGCTTCTTGCTTTTCAGCACTTGAGCACTCGTGCCAGGGGCAGCAGTGGCAGTGGAGGGAGTGCCTGGAGTGACAAAAATGGACAAGCAGTTAAGAGAGATGAGATTAAGGTGCAAGTGTGTGTGTTCGCTTTTGACCTGTTGTATGACGCAGGAGAAGCTTTGGTGAAAATGCCTCTCCGTGAGCGGAAAGAACGATTACGTGAAATGTTTCCACATGTGCGGCCAGGATATTTCCAGTTTGTAGACGAAATCAAGGTCGAGGCAGAGGAAACGACGGCCCCCGATTCTGAAGCAACTGCTACGGCTATGGCGGCTGTCAATAGCTTTCTTACACATTCCCTGTCGTCTTCTTGTGAAGGTATTATGGCCAAAGCCTTGGACGGCATCGGGTCTTTTTATGCTGCCAACAAGAGGAGCGACAGCTGGCTTAAGGTGAAGAGGGATTACGTGGAGGGCTTGCATGACACATTGGATTTGGTGCCGATCGGCGCATGGCATGGGAATGGTCGCAAAGCCGGATGGTTCAGCCCATTCTTGATGGCGTGCTATGATCCGGACCAGGAAGTGTTCCAGAGCGTGTGCAGGTGCATGTCCGGGTTCACCGATGAATTCTACGAAAAGACGACAAAACTTTATCGAGAGGAGGGACTACTGGAAAAGAAACCATCTTACTATGTGACAGGGGAACAGCCGGACATCTGGCTGGTAGCCAAGAATGTATGGGAGATCCGGGGAGCAGATCTAACCATATCTCCGGTCCACGGAGCAGCAATGGGGCTCGTACACGCGACACGCGGCATCTCGGTAAGGTTTCCCCGCTTTCTCCGCGTTCGTGCGGACAAGAATGTCGACGATGCAAGTACGCCGGAAGACATAGCTGACCTATTCAACCGTCAAACTCGAAAGCTGGATGTCGGAGAGCATCCATCTTCTTCTATGCCTAGAGCACCCATAGGAACAGATACGACGACATCGGGAGCCCTTCCGCCAAAATCGCATCTTGAAGATGCAGAGAAGGATGCAGATGTGGCATTCCAAAATCTGTCGGAAAGCCGTGAGTCGGAGGGGGAAGAGGAAGGGAACTCAGCGGATGATTTACGTTGAGTCGTCCATGCTCCCTCTTTGCGGTTGTAGCATGTACTTGTAAATCGGTCTTGAGTTGTAGGCTTGTAGATACATGGTAGTGAAACCTTTGGGATGGGTACGAGCGAGCGAGAGAGAGAGAGAGAGAGAGAGAGAGAGAGAGAGAGAGAGAGAGAGAGAGAGAGAGAGAGAGAGAGAGAGAGAGAGAGAGAGAATGTAGGTTTGTATATACATGGTAGTGAAACCTTGGGGGGAAGTTGGGGATGGGTATGGGTATTAGTAGTAGTACCATAACTGCATTGTCAGGTTTGGCTGGCTAAGGGGGAAAAAAGGACAAAGAAGGTTTTGCTGGCTATGGTGATTTGCCGAAACGTACGAAATGGAGGTAGGAATACCATAACCGTGCCGTTAGGTTTGGCTGGCTAAATAAAAAGGAAAGGAATGAAGGTTTGGCTGGTTATGGTGGTTTGTTATTGAGCCTTGAATGTGATGGCGGTTGAGTAACATCACGATGATCGCAGCTTGCCTAGGCAAATCGTTTCGGTGTTTCATAAGCAATTCTTTGGCTCTCCCTTTCTATTTGTCAATTGACCCTCTACAGTTCAAAGGTAGAATTATACATAAAAATTAAGGTCGCTGACGGTAGGGTGTAAAGAGGCACAATGGAATATGATGCTACCGTCTTCCCCCGAATACAACGCATGGTCATTCTAGCTGTATCTGGACTGAAAGATGCGTCAAATACAGCTATAATGACCGTACGTTGTATTCGGGGGAAGAAGGTAGTGCATCATCATGTCACCTTATCCGAACCTTATCCGAACCTTATCCGAACCTTATCCGATATATCGGCTAAGGTGAGATGATGACATGTCTCATTGTCTACTTTCAGATAATAAAGGTGACATGATCACCGTTGGATGAACAGAAAATTGGCGTCACAGGGAAAAAAAAAAAAAAAAAAAAGGCATCAAAGG